AGGTAAGGGGTTGGCTGGTTTGTTATTTGTTTGTTTATTGTTTATTGGTTGTTGTGTTGTTGTTGTTATTATTATTATTATTGTTGTTGTTATTATATTATGTTGTTTTATTATTATTATTATTATTATTATTATTATTATATTATTATATTATTATATTATTATTATTATTATTAATTATTATTATTATTATTATTATTATCATTATTGTTATTATCATTATCATTATTTATTCTGTTTCATTTCCTTTTTTATTTTGGTGGTGGTGGTGTTTTTTTTTTTTTTATCGGGTTGTTTATTTTGTCACTATCGTTATCAGTATCTTTTTGGTTATCATTATTATTTCCGTCATTATTATTTTCACTTTTATCATTATTATTCAAATCACTTTTGTTTTGTTGTTATTATCACCATCATTGCCATTATTATTTTGTTACTATTGATATTGTTATTATTATTATTATTATTATCATCATTAATATCATCATCATTTTTATTATTATCATTACTGTTGTTATTATTGTTTTATCATTTTTGTCACCTTTATTATCATTATTATTATGATCCATATATATGTGTGATATATATATATATATATATATATATATATATTATATATATATATATATATATGTATATATATGTATATATTATATATATATATATATATTATACATATATATGCACATATATACATATATATATATATATATATATATATACTTATATGTGTGTGTGTGTGTGTGTGTGTGTGTGTGTGTGTGTGTGGTGTGTGTGTGTGTGTGTGTGTGTGTGTGTTTTTTCGGGGCATACATCATTTAAACATGTAGAGAGCAGCAGGAGGAACAAAACAAAATAAATTCTGGCTCTGTATAACGTCATAAGAAAAAAAAAATACATGCCATGTTTTTGACAGATTAGTAAGAAGCATTCCTCATATAAATTCCCTACTACTTAATGCCTTAGGGACCGTTGTTAAGAATTTGCCAAACAATTTCCTGATGTTTGCAGTCTTGGACCTTCCCAATCCATGTATGTGGCAAATTATTTAGTCATATATGGCGAGTTAATTTTTTTTCTGTTCTATTTTGTCTCACCAACCACACATACGTGCACACATCGAGTTTAGTACAGTCACAATGATGACCAAAGCATGAACCCACGTAACTGTCGAGATACTGCCAACCACCCCATTACACGCAGCCTAATTGTTGAATTAATTCCTAATTGCTCCCCACTTCGAGTTTGACGTATAACACGTATGACGTAACAGGAAATGACGTATAACACGTATGACGTAACAGGAAATGACGTATAACACGTATGACGTAACAGGAAGTATATGACGTAACAGGAAATGACGTATAACACGTATGACGTAACAGGAAATGACGTATAACACGTATGACGTAACAGGAAATGACGTATAACACGTATGACGTAACAGGAAACATCTTTGAATTCCCTAGAGCAGTAGGAACACGTTCTTTTCTGTATATATAAATTGTATGTCAAGCATGGCAAGTTAACCGGAGTTTCAACCCGACAGGTTCTCGCGACATTTCCTTGGGATAAGGTCAAGATTCGACTGATGTGCATCGAGGTCAACCACGTCGGGATAGAACGCGTGAGTTCCTTCATGGCGAAGCAAGGATACATGTACGTCGGCAAGCGGGACATCGACGCGTGGTACGGCTGGAAGGACCTGCTAAAGGAAACCATCAACGTAGAGGAATATCCGAAGGAGCTGATTCCGTAGGGCGTCTTGGTCAAGGGGTAATTGGTGGACGAAGTTGGCGAATGGGGTATTCAGAGGATTTGTTTGTGTGGTGTTTTGTTCTCAGGTATTAGATATAGAAGTGTGGTGTTGTTATGGCTTTTGATTTTCTTTTCGTTCTTGCGGTCGACATTTTCATCTAAAATCTGCGGTTTTCAGGCTTTTATTTATTTTTGTATTTGTTTATTATTATTTTATTATTATTATTATTATTATTATTTTTGGCGGTTCTTAATTTTTTTTATCGCAACATCGACCATGCTCATCTATCCCTCCCTTAAACCTCGCTAGCCACTTACAACTAGTTTTAGAGTGTAACACATGTAGAGTAGTTCTTAGCTACTATTTTCGTTGCATTTGATGTGACTTGAGATTTTTCTTTTTATCTAGAAAAAAATAAAATAAAGTAAAAAAATTTTTGTATTCATAAGATAACTACCAGTTGACTGCGGGTCTCTATTACCCATTGTCTTGTATGTGCGGTCTGCATTAACATGTTATATAAATTCCCATAGTATAAGGGCGTTTTAAGTAGGGAATTTTCTTGCCTAAAATCTCAATATATATATATATATATATATATAATATTATTATTTATATATATATATATATATATATATATTATATAATATATATTATATATATATTATATATATATATATTATATATATATAAAGTTTCTATATATAAGTTTATATAAATATATATATATATATATATATA